TTCTCTATTCCCTCTTCTCTCCTCTCTCGTCTTTCCTCTTTCCTTTCCCCTGCGCTGCCAAACACGCCCTGCTCCTGCGCTCGATTTTGCCTTTCATGCCTTTCGCATTCGGGGCTGCGATAAGAAATGTGCGGAGGAGTCTGAGCCTTCCCCTCACCCAGACTGACTTGACTCTTGCGGTTATTCGAGGCGAATGGTGCTGAGTCTGCAAGAGTCCATCCATCACTGCTGCAAGCATGGCGGGCAAAGCTTTCCGCAGCTGCATCATATACTTCTGGTTACAGGCCTCCCGGCAGCTGATGCAAAGTGTCATTCGGAATGGCAGCAAAGCTTAGAATTTGCTTGTAGCTAAGGGACGGCTACGGGCTTCTGACAGTTGTTGCGATTACAGTGTTTGCGTTCATCTCGAGCTGCTGTGCGATAGTGTCGACAAGAGCGTTTCTTGTCAATGACAGCTGTGATGCGCGTCGAGCAGATTCAGTGCTTGGAATGCATGAGCGTCGCCAGCGTCTCCTGCAAAGTCTGCACTCGCTTGGCAGACCAAGTGCCAATCCACCCAGTTACAGGCCTAAGAATGTCAACAAGCCATGGCGACAGCTGGTGATCGACAGCCCTCTTGAAGGCGACCGACTTGGGGTCAACCTCACTGAGGACAAATGCAAGCAAACAGTTGCTTCAAGTTGAGGCAACGCGTGAGCCGCGGCTTTTGTCCCGCTGAGGACACGCTGGTGATCACCAGTTTCACGGATCCTCGAGCCGAAGCCTTTGGCTTCAAGGCTTGCAAACTGGCAAGCTGCAGTGGCCTGCACCGAGCCTTGAACCCTAAACCGCTGCGGAAGTCCTAATCATCGATCAGTCGTACTCTGATCTATATGTTTTTTGGTCTAGTCTTGCTGCCTTGCTTTTGGGTGCCCTGAAGGTGGGAGATCGTATCTTGCACATCAACGGCGTGCCCGTGTTTAAGCAGTTGGATTTTCTTCAAGTTCTGTCAGGCCAGAAGCCACATCAGCTTTTGCTTAGGGTGTATTAGAGTGTGTGTAGCATGACGACACGCTTGGCAGATCTTGGCGGCGCTTTTTGAGGTGCGATGCGAGATTTCCATCAACTGAAGCAGCCAATCGTGGTGACCACCGTGGATCCCACGCCTGAGCCTAGCGTGACTTTGAGACTTTGGCACGGTCAAGTCATGCTCGTAACGAGGTCCAGTGCGAACAAGCTGCCGCGCGAGGAGCTGCAGAGAAGTTTGGCTGCGGCTCGGCTCCATGAATGCAAACTCCATGCGCCGCGTCAGTGTGCTTCAGCAGCCGATTATGAATGCTTTTCATCACTTCGAGCACGTTTTCATAACTTCGAGGTGTGCGGGAGATGGCAGTTGAGCAGCGGCGAAATCTTTGTCATCAGCATTTTAGCTTGATAATGCTGGGGGAAGTCACGAGCAGGAAAAGCACCATAGCTGCAAACTCCTTGTCTAGGCCAGATGCCTGGGGTCGAGCAGCTGCTTCTGACTCTTCTGATTGGAGAGAGCACCGCTGCAACAGGCAGAGGGTCTTCAACCTTGAGACGCTTTCGGACGCCTTGTGCCATGTGCGGTGCGTGTCCGCTGTCTTCCCAGTCTCGCGTCAAGGCTTGCTTGTGCGAGACGGGCCGGACCTGCGATGCCACCTATACCGGACGGACAACACCGAGTTTGGTGAGGCATGGCTCAGCTCCTCAGCCGCCTTAGCCTGTATGCGGATAGAGTCAGCTACAAAGGTTGAAAGGTCGCAAGGGGGTTTGGTTTCTGTGTCCTGTCAGGGTCCAGTAGTACCTCACACCAAGCACAACTACTGCCAAGATGCAACACACCCCAACCCTGGTTCAACATCGGGAACATGGCTTGGTTGCTGGCAAGACCTTGGCCATGATGTAAGGCTTCAACGCGCAGTCCGAGAAGATAGAGGCTTCGCTGAAGCCGGCTGGCTCAGAACGCTACGGGAAGGTTTTGGCGGCCTCAAAACTCGCAGGAAGGGCACATTTGCTGTAGTACTGTCAGGAATTCAGCTTTTAGGCTGACTGTCACTGCACTTTCTGCAGGAACTCCTTCGCAAGCGACGCCATTGCCTTGTCCACGACAGCTTTCGGGCGGTCCATACTCATCGGCAGCTTCTTCCTGGCCAGTGTCCTTGACATCTCTGCCACCGAAGAAGCTATCTGGTGAAGATGTTACGTGAGGATTCTGCACCAGTCGTCCTAAGGCATTTTCACACTTTTTTGGCCATCAGTGGCCATCCTAGTTCAGTTTGGCAACCCTGGGCAACACAGGAGAAGCCAACTGCAAGGCCACAAGGAGACTACTGAACCAGACTCCCGTGGATGTGTACTGTGCATTGCATAAAAATCACTCACAGCAAATCAGCGCAAACGGAGGTTAATTCCCAGCAACCTTGCCTTGAGTGAGCTCAATGCATGGTGCGCGACTAGTAGAGCACTGCACCTCCGGTATCCTCTGGTGATACACCTGTCCCCGAAAAGTGGAGCACGTCAGAGGCACTTTCCGAGCCTATAGAAGGAGGATTGGGTAGCGGATATTCTCCAGCTACGCAATCCGTTCAGTATTTCTGTTTCCAATATGGGCAGAAGGGGCTGTGCGCCTGCGACGTTCTCACCTGCAAAAAAAACGTGTGTCTGGCAAAAACAAATCTGCATACTATGGAAGCTGGGAGTGTTGTTGAGTCGTATGTGCAGGAGTGGCGTCAGCGAGCCGTGGAAGCCAAAACTCAAATCGCATGGGCCTCTTTGAAGAGCCTCAAAGATCAGGGGATGCAAGTTACGTTGTTGTTGCTGCGTTGCTACGTTCACCAAAGGAGCAGCTCTCAGCTGATGCAGAGAGACAAAAGCGGCAGCCTCAAAAGATTGCCAATTCTCATTCCCTGTTACAGCAGCGTTAAGCAGCCATGGTATTCTTGTCAAGTGCCGCTGTGCCGCTCATTCAAACAAAAACAAGTCCATGAAAGTGACAGATACGCCTTCTTACTTGAGATCCTGCCAGGGACTCGCGAGCAAGTGGGAGATTTTGTAGTTCCCCACCCTTCAAGTGGGGTTGTTGGATTTAACACAAATTGCCCGTCTGCTTCTCCCGTCCTGCCCCGCCCCGCCCCGCCTGTCAGTTCCGTCAGTAGGCAGTACAGTTACAAGAGGACAACTTAAAGGACAGGAAAGACGATAGACAACAGGACACAAAAAGCGACAGACAGCACGGCAGAAGAACAGAACAGACAGGAGGACAAACAGACAGAACAGGTCAGAGAACAGGAAGGAAACAAGCAGCTTGGAATGAGAACAAGCAGTTTGACAGGAAAGAGGACAGAAGAACAGAAGAAACAGGAGGACACATGAAGAGAATAGATCAGAGAACAGGCAGGAGAACCCAAAGAGCAGCCAGTGGAGGTCCAGGCACCTCCGAGTGTACCGAAATAATCTTCGCGCCCAAAGAGCAGCCAGTGGATCTTGGCGCCCAAAAAGCAGCCAATGGAGTCCCAGGCCTCCGAGTGCACCGAAATTATCATTTCAAGCATTCCCACTCTGTCGCACCCATATATATATATATATAGTTATATCTGTACATTTCAGCAAATGCGAAAGTGTTGTGCAGATCCAGCTCGACAGATGGACATGTGGACTGTACTGGCAAGCCTTTGGAATTCTATCTTTCCATTGAAGGTCAACAGTTGCAACACAAGCCTTTCTTGCATTTTAAAGTGACAGTGGTATTCAAATTAAATAACAGTAGATATCAGTAGATGTTCCATCAAACCGTAGCTTAATTCAAGGTTACTTGTCTGGAACGTTTATGGCAAATTGCTGTAGGCTAGCTTAAGTTTGAGCTAAGTGCCAAATATATAAACCAATTCCCAAAATCATTCAAGTCACAAATAGCTTGACGACCGCATAATACTATTCGGTATAAATTTCACCTTTATGAAATCACAGGTGAGCAAACTCTCACACAGAATGCAATGCATACGGATCACATCTTTCCAGCGGTGACTTGGGGAATCCACATCGTCTAAGGCTGCATGCAATGCAAGCGAAAATGACCAGGCAGGCCACACTGGCACACAAGGGCATAGGCCCACAAGACAAAGACCAGGCTGGTCTCAAGGCAAGTGAACCTAAAACCCCTCCTTAGCCGGTATGGAAAATTTGCGCGTTGGGGATTAGAAAACCCTACCCCTACTCAGGGTTGGGTGGACAAACTTCAAGAATGGACTCCAGTGCACATGTGCAGTCGCACGCACTCAAACCTCGCCACGCAAGCATCAGGGTACGCGAAGGCCCTCTCCAGGACCTCTCCAAGACCTCTGCGGGACCTCTCCATGCATTCTCAATCACCTTCCCTTTTTGTCACGGCCGTGCGCGCGCTCCTGCGCGCATGGGCGCCTGCTCCGCTGATCCCAGCTCTGTTTTTATTCTAGCGTAGATCTGGTTAGGACCTAGGATACTGCTACCGGGGCACTCTGACCAGGTGTATGGGAAGAAATGGCGCGTTGTGGTCTCCAACCAATAAGGTCTGACTTATCCCTTATGCGTGCCTCGTACATGGATTCGATGGCGTAGTCCTGTACAGAACACCACATTATGAATAGGGTCCGCCATCGGAGCTTGTAAGACCGTATTGATCATATCGTACTCTTGTCCTGACAGCACGTCTGAGGGTCGTCTTGGATATCCTGCTATATCCTGCTCGTCTCCGTACATCATGGTTAGTGACTCGTGAGTAAAAACGACGCTTTCATCCCCACCATTCGCCTTCGAAAACGGAAATAAATACCGTCCACTCTGCGTATCTGTTTACTGGTAAGCGCCAAAGAATCAAGACCATAGACCAGCATGGAGATAAACAGTGACTGGAAAACATGGAGTTTCTTTCTATAGCTCATACTGCTGTTCCAGATTAAACGGAGCTTTTCATCGGCAGCCTCTGCCAGTCCAGCCCGTGCTGGAGGGCCGTACTGAAGGAGTTTTCCCATCTCCAGCACCTCTCAGGACCTCTTTCAAAGACCTGTCAAAGGCCATTCAAGGACAGCACTGAGCCGGAAGAAACCCTGAATCCTGCGAACCCGAAACCTTTTTGAAGCCCTGAACAGTCGCCTAGATGATCATAGGCCGTTCACTCTCTATCCTGGCATCTCTGCGCATAAATGACACATTTTGTGGAGGCTGTCTGGTAAAACAAACCTCTTCAGGACCTCTCCAGTACCTCTCAAGGACCTTGTTGAATGGCCTCTCAAGAACCATTCAGAAAATCTAAATACAATTTTGCATTTATTTGCTTCCCCCCCCCAAGATCCACCTTTTTTTGGTGGCTATAGACGTTATTTGAATCCACAGTATTCAATTCGCTTAGTTCATCTATTTTGTCTAGCCTTACTGGAGAAATTAAGTAAATCACATCATTGAATTCTATGTCACTTGGCTGGCCTCCAGGGTCTATTTAACTATGTTAAAGAAGTTAAATATGTGACAAAAGCTAAATATGTTCAATATTTCATTCAATTTTCTCTAGCCTTTACAGGAGAAAGTGAATGAGATCAATACATTAGATCATTGAACTTTAGGCCCCTTGGCTGGCCCCCAGGGTCTATTTAACTGAATTGAAGAAATTAAATATAATTCTCTAGCCTGTATTGGATAAATCACGTAAACCAAATACATTGGAACATTGAATTCTGGGCCCCTGGGCTGGCCTCCAGGGTCTATTTAAATAGATGCATTAGAGTAACTAGAGTACATAAGCTAAGTACAGCATCTAGTTTATATAAGTTATCCAAAAGAGCTAGTTAAATCAAATAGACTAAATGAATTGAACATGTTAGTTGCCTTTTTCTATCAAAAATGCTGGTTAGTTCAAATAGATTCAATGAATTCAAAATCTTAGTTGCTTTGTTAACCAATTTCTACAGCCTTTACGGGAGTTGCTGGAGAAATTAAATGAATGAAATCATTGAATGCCAGGCCCCTTGGCTGGCCTCCAGGGTCCACTTAAAAGATACGCTAGATTCTACCCCTATACATAGCACATTATTTAGCATGTACTAATGCATCATGAAGAAAACTTTCCTAACAAGCAAAATATATGTTAGTCAACAGCACAAAGCCTTCTCCATATGAGGATGGAGCTCAAATCCCAGTTGTTTCTATTGTTTTTCTATGGGATCAAAAGAAACACGGATGAGGAGCTGGAGCTTCCACTTCTCTCAAGTGAGTCGCATCTCTCTTGTATATTTGTTGTGGAGAAGTGACTTCTATTCTGCTCGTAGGGTCAGAAGTTTGGTTCTACCCTTAGACTAAGTTAGGGAGTTGTTGGTTGCTTTGGGCTTTGCTTTTTCTCTTTATACGCCCATTATCAAGAATATTCACATAATATCGAATAAGTTGTGGGGGATCTTGAGGTAGGCGGAGACGTCCTTGAACGTTACCGCCCCATTGACTGGAATTTGCGCCATTGCTAGTTAGATAACCACAAAAGGCATAGTAGATTTGGATTGGAATGCCTGCGAACAAGCATGAGTTTCAGCGACATC